TCAATTTTGAAAGATAGTTTTGCAGAGTACATCAGTCTGGGTTGGAGGTTGTTTATTTTTAGGGCTTGAAATACTTCATGGCAAGCTCTCCTTGACTTGAGGGTTTGTGTTGAGAAGTCTGCTGTGATTCAGATGTGCTTTCCTTTATAGGTGATTTGTTTCTTTTCTCTACCAGCTTTTCATATTCATTTCTTGTGTTGGATTTCTGGAATCTTGACTATTATATGCCTTGGGGAAGATTTTTTTATCACTGCTAATTGGAGTCCTATATGTTTCATTTATCTGTATGTCAAAATCTTTTTCCCTGTTTTGGAAGTTTTGTGCCATTACTTCTGTGAACAGTTTTTTTTATATCGTTTGTGCTATTGCCTACTTTTTCATTGACTTCTATCAATCTTATGTTATTCTTCTTTGCATCATCTAGCAGCTGCTGGAGTAATTTCTCATGGTCCCATGCTATTTTTAAGAAATTTCTCTTTTCATGATCACTAACTGCAATGCTGTCTTCTATATCATATCTGTTATTCTGTCCTCACATTGGCTCATTCTGCTATGTATGCTTTCAGTGAATTTTTTTTCCAGTGGAATTTTTAATCTCCAGGATATCTGTTTGAATTTGTTTGATGGATTCCATTTCTTTCCTATGCTGGACGTTCATGGTCTCCATCATGTTCCTGGGCTCCTCTATTTTTTTTTAATCCATATCTCCTTTAGAGTCACTAAACATGTCTTTCATTCTGGTCACTATCTCTGTAGTTATCTAGAAAATTATTTCTGCTCTGATTTTTTTCCTAAATTTTCATTTAGGGCTGGGGGTTTAGTTCAGTGGCACCACACCTGCCTCGCAAGTGCAAGGTCTTGATTTTGATCCCTGGTCCCGAAAAAAATAAATAAATAAATAAATAAAACATTGTTTATCTGCTTTGTTGTTTCTGCTGTTACCACTTCAGAGAGTTCAGGTGGGTGGCTTTCTAATTGTTCCACCACATTGCCTCCTGGGTTTGCCTTTGGTGAGCTGAAAATCTGGGGTGGAAGTTGCATCTTGTTTAAGTGTCTTCTCATTTTCTATTTTTTTAAAAGTTTCATTTCTGGTATGCTTGTAAATTGCTTATGGCAAGTAGCTTTATTGCCCGTATTCAGAACTCTTAGGAAAAGACTATTTCTCAGAAGCGTCTTCCAGGCGTAGCTGACTTTTGGGTTTTGAGTCTGTTGCATGATACTACCTGTTCAATTTATTGGGGATGAGAAGTTTCTTCCTACTTGGCCCAGCCACCAGTTCTTTGGAACTGGTCTATAGTTTTTTTTTCTAAGACCCTTAGGCAATCTCAGTCTTGGTATACCAGGAGGAACAACTGATTAACACAATAATGTCACCTTGGCTAAAATAGTACAGTCAACAATAACAATAGCATCAAATACAGCCTAGAAAGCAACACACTGTGGTAGCTATTAATTTGCTACCTTTAACTGTATTAACTAGATATGTGGTTATATAACAAAATCTAGAACAAATCCAAAAATTGTGTGTAATAAATAAGCCCTTAATATGGCGATTTTACCCTTAGGGGAGAAGATTTAAAAGGGGTTGGGGGTGGGGACAGAGAAATAGAAGAAGAAGAAGAGATCAGAACAAACCTTAGGACAAACCGCAGGAAACCGGTGAAGAAGACAAGGAAGAAAGAGAAAAGGAAGAAATAAAAACAAGAACAGAATAGAACAACAACAAAAAATCCTAAAAACCATGTTCAAGCAATCAGTAAAAAGCAAAACAAGAACCATAAAGGGGGGAAAAAAAGAAAAAGAAAGGACAAAGAAAGGTCCAATGCAAGGTGTGTTTCTGCTGTCACTGGTAGGCAACACGGGCAGACAGAGCCCAGAGTTGAACTGATTACCCCAGCAAGCCAGCCACAGCTTCACAGTGGGTTAGTGAGTAATCTCAGCTGGCCTGCCCCTTTAGTTCCCCTGAAGTTCAGGCTGATTTATGGCTATGAGGCTGGAAGCAGATTCCAATCCATGTGCCTCCTGACTTGAACTTGGCACCCACACTGAGACTCCAGGAGCCACTGGGTAGAGTCAGCCCTAGCTGTTCTGAGTTCTGAGCTCAGCTGGCCCCTCTCTAAGATGGCTACTGGCCAATCATCCTCTCCTGGGTGACATCTGAACCTGGATAACTCACCAGCTGCTGCAGTCCAATGCATGCATTGCTCCATTCCCCAGACACCTTCTCTGTGGAGGCCTCTAGGGTTAGTCACCGTGCATCTGCAGGTCTGACCTGCCCTTACCATGCTGTGAGACTGGCTCTAGGAGAAAGCTGCTTGCTACCTCCCTCCTCTTCGATGAAGTCTCTCTCTGCCCACTCCCCATGGACTTCAGTTCTCACTTCAGGTCCTTCCTTCCTTCTTCCCTTTGCGCTGCTGTATTCGAGTCGGGACACCAAATCTTGGAGAGGCTCTGTCTCTGCCGCTCACCACACCGCCTGCGGCCTCTTCTGAGGCTGCCGCTGCCACTGCCCAGCCCTGTCTGAGCCCTCAGCAAATTCACCTGCCATGGGGGCAAAAGTGTTGACGCTCCAGGGCAGAGAAGGCTCTTTAGGGTTTCTGGGAGCCCTGCACCACGTCCCTTCAGGCCACGGACCTACCACTCTTCGAGCTCCTCCTGCTTTTGTGCCGCGTGGCTTGTGTGTTCCATGGTTGGTGTGAGGCAGTGTCCGGTGTGCTGTGGGTTTTGTTCTTGTCCTGTTTCCCCACACCAGGCAGAAGGGTGAGACTGGTCCCACACGTCCTAGCCCACTCCTCCTGCTACACCTGCTCAACGTGGCCCTCAGCCTGAAACCACTGGGGGGCCAGCAGACTGGCTGTCCCAACAGGTGAAAGGAGGACTGTTTCCCCCACGTGAAGAGGGGAAGCATGGGGGCTGGGGCAGCAGATCCCCCATTTACCCCTTCTGTTAGCAACCACGACACCAGCGTTCAAGAGAGATAAGTTTAGGAGCATCGCTCTCACCTGCCTCAAGGCCTTGCCTAAGACGGAGTCTCCAGCATGAAGATAGCATCCAAGGGTGTGACAGCCTCCTGCTTGCTGATCTGTGGCTCTACCCCTCTGGCTGGCATGGAGGAAGCCTGTCCTGCCTCTCAAGGACGCTCAGTTGCCAGGTCCCAGCCCACCCCCGCCCCCCATTCCCCTCTCCTGCCCTTTCAGGTACCCAGGGCCTTCCCAGCTTCCTCCCTGCTGCCAACAGTCTGTCCATCTGTAAGTGTGCATCCAGGGTCACCCACAGAGCTGCCATGTGTGACAGCACTCTACAGACAGTGGGTGGTGGAGCTGCAGGACTGAACCCCTCCTAGAGGCATTTTGGGGATCCATGAAGAAGAACCATATTTTTAGTTCCAGGAAGGTTCTTTCCCTGTCCTCCTAAACTAATCACAGCTCTGGCATTTCACCCTTCCCTTCCCCCCACAAATTTTTCTTCCCCCTGCTCTAGTCTGGATGTTCTTTTTACGTACTGGGAATCAAACTCAGGAGCTTGCATTTGCCAGACGGGCATGGCATCACTGAGTTACATCCCTGGCCCTACTAGTCTGGATGTTGAATGCCACCCAAGGCCATCTGTGGGAGGCTTGGTCCCAGCTCAGCCACTACTGGGGGTGATGGACCTTTAAGAGATGGGGTCTAGGGAGAGGCCTGGTCCCTGGGGGCATCTCTTCCTCTTTCTTTTCATGTCTGGGCCATGAAGTGATAGGTTTTGCTCTGCCACCCATTCCTGCCATGTGGTGCTGCCACTGGTCCAGAGCAACAGGGCCAACAAATCATGCACTGAATCCTCCAAAACTCTCCATGTGTCTCTTCTTCCTGGAAGGACACTTATTGCTTCCAGGCCCACCCTAATCCACCAAAGCCTCACCTTAACTTGCTTGTTCTGCAAAGATCCTATTCCTAAATAAGGTCACATTCACAGATGCCTGGGATTGGGACACCAGTGCATCTACTCCTGTCACACATGTGTCAGAGCTTGTCCCACCCGGTTCTTCCTGTCTCTTGTCATGTGCCATCCGCACCATTGACTTTGGTGTTTTTCGGACACTTCGCAGTTTTTCCTGTGTGAAACCTCGATCAATATGGTACAGTGAAGTTTGCTCTTGGCTCGTGCCTGGTAAGGGCGGCAGGGAGCTAGAGGATCTGGCCAAGTGGCAGGAGAGTGGACACCCAAGGATGTGAGGGTGCACCCCATCACATCAGGACTGTGTGAGCATCACCCAACAAGGGGGCCCCCAGGACCCAGATGGGGTGCAAGGGAAACTCTGACCCCACAAATCTAAGAGAGTAGAAGTAGTAGGTTTATAAAATTCCCTGCCATTAAGGAACTTAATATCGGGCTTTTCTTTTCTTTCTTTTTAATGGAATGTGCTGGACGTCTCTATAATTTTGTTCAGATGACCATGGAACCTGGAAAAGCTGTTGCTGCTATTGATGCATAACATACTGCTATTATTGGTCTTTTTATATAAATATAAATGTATATACATATATATATAATTTAAATTTTTGGAAACTTTAACTGTGCTATGAACTTTGGAAAAAGTTATCCCAGTTACTGTGTTGAGTTGGCATTGTACATAAATCACAGCTGTATTGGTCTAGAAATGTTACATTCAGTTTTTTTCCCATTTGTACAGGGGCAACACACTATCTTAAATATGTAAAGTCCTATCTAGTGAGTTTGGTTACAGAAACTAATAAAATATTCTCTAAACAATGAAAAAAAAATTGAATGCCCGGTGTGGTGCCGCACACCTTATAATCCCAGCACTCGGGAGGATGAGGCAGGAGGATCACTTCAAGTTTGAGGCCAGCCTGGGCTACATACCAACCCTGTCTTGATTGAATGCATGAATGAATGATTCCTACTGTTGCCACTGGAGTATTTGGGCCCTTGGAAGAGGAAGAGTCTTCTGTCTGCCTCCGCCCAGCCACACTTCTAACAGGCTCTGTCATTTCCCACAGCCTCAAGCGTCTCCTCTTCCCCGTCCACTCCCACCCAAGTGACCAAGCAGCACACGTTTCCTCTCGAGTCCTACAAGCAGGAGCCCGAGCGCCTGGAAAATCGCATCTATGCCTCCTCGCCCCCGGACACTGGCCAGCGCTTCTGCCTGGGCTTCCAGAGCCCAGCCAGGCTACCGCTGGCCTCCCCCACGCACCATGCTGCACCCAAGACCGTAAGTCTGAGCCCTCGTCCCGGGTAGGGCTGGGCAATGGGGGGGAGGGGCTGCTTCCACACTGTTCTGTCTCAGTGCAAGGCTGGTGTGGTTTATTTTATCATAAATCACAGACCAAGGACAAATGGCGAGGGTGTGGAGGGCAGGCAGCAATCATAGGAAATACTTCGGGATGGGCCCCATCATAAAAGTTTTCTGCTCCTCCTTGTTTTTATTTATTTTTTCATTACTGGGATTGAACCCAGGGCCTACGCACTGAACTGCATCCCCAACCTTCTTTATTTTTAGATAGGGTCTCACTCAGTCACTAAGTTGCCCAGGCTGGGCCTGAACTTGTGATCCTCCTGCCTCAGCCCGGACTGAGTGCTGGTACTATAGGCATTTGCCACCACACTGGGCTCATTCATCCTTCTCCTTAAAAATCATCCTTTGAAAGCTTTGTTTGAATTTACCCTGATCATTAGAAGTAAAATGTCACAGGCAAAGGACAAGAGGAACAGAGTTTTAAGATTTAAATCCAACATTGTGTGACTTGGGGTATATTCCTAGAAAGGACAGCCTTGTTTTGTTTTGTTTGGGACAGGGTCTCACTGTGTAGTTTATGCTGGCCTTGAATTCACTAAGAAACCCAAGCTGGCCTTAAACTTGCTTCAGTGCTCCTGCCTCAGCCTCCCGTTGCAGGATTACAAGTGAGCATCACCACGCCCAGCTGAGGGCAGCCTTTCACAATGGAGTAGGCTCACAGGTGTCTTTGAGGCCTTCAGTGGATTGGCTGGGAAGGACCAGGACATGGTGATGGAGGAAGCTGGCTTTGCCACACTCCTGTGCACTCTCCACTCCAATACAGAGGTCCCCGAGACCCCACCCATCATAGCTTCTTCAGTCCCGGGGATGTGCTGCCAGGACCAGTAAGGGTGTGCCCAGCAAGGGTGTAAGAATCATGTCATTAATGCTCCCTACACAGATGGGACCGTTTCATTCAGTTGTCATGCTAAGGGGTTGCTAGAACAATGCATCTTCATTCTGCATCCCTGTGTAGCCACAGGGAATTGGTCTGAGGACCCCTGGGAGTACCAAAGTCCTCTGATGTTCAATTTCATTTTCTAAGATGGTGCAGTATTTGTACAATGCCTACATACATCTTCCCAAATGCTTCACCCCATCACCAGATTACTTAGAATACTGCATCCAATGTCCTTGAGCTGTGCAAATTGTCATTAATATTGCTTAGGGAGCAAAGACAAGAACAGTACTTATTCAGGACAGATAACAGTTTTTCTCCAACACTTCTGAGCTGCAGTTGGTGGAATCCACAGTTGGTGGAATCTGCAGCTGGAAAGGCTGTGGCCGTGGAGAACCGACTGCACCACACACTGGGTGCCTTAAGACAGCAGCAATTTACTGTCTCACGGTTCTGGAGATGAGAAGTCAAAATCAAGGTTTTAGGGGTCACACACCCTCCAGTGCTCTAGGGGGCACCCCCGCCTCTCCCAATTTCCAGCTGCCCTGGAGTTTCTTGTTTGTGGTAACTTCTCTCCAGCCCCTACCTCCATCGCCCTGGAGCAGTCTCCCCTGTTCTGCTGGTCACCACCCTAATGACCTCATTTTCACCTGGTTCCATCAGCAAAAACCTTGTTTCCAAATAAGGTCACATTCGCAGGGACTGAGGGTTAAAATGCCAGCACATCTTGTGGACACAAATTAAACCCATAACCGTTGTTAGGTCCTGAGAGAGGATGCACCATCCAGGCAGAAAACACAGCATGACTACTCTTCTTATTCCTTCAACCATGGTTTGACTCAAGGTGGGCTTGGCAAAGCATCCATTTAAATGGCCAGGGCCAGACTGCAAGTATTGTTTCTGCCTCCCAGAGCTTCCAACCTTGCCCGCAGGAGCCCAGGGCCAGGTGGACACACCCAGGAAGGCTGGGAAGCAGAGCTGGGGGAGGCTGGGCAAACAAACAGGGCCCCTGCAGGTGTGAGAGAAGGGTGTGCAAGCAATGAGGGTTTCGACCGAGCTGGTCCTGGAGTAGTTGCAAGAGCTTAAATATGGGGGATGTGAAGGGAGAAACTTCTAGAAAATAAAGGGAGCCAGGGCTTGGGGATGGGGATACACACAGTAGAGAAAGCAATGACTACACAGTGTGCAAGTGGTATAGGGCTGACTCTGAGGAGGACAGATGTCTGGCAGAGATAGGAAGACAGGGCATCCTGGGGTGTCCAGGGCTGGGCCTCTAGAACCGGGAACTAGGAGGAGGTCATGCACCTTCTAGGGGATAAACAGCTGGAAGTTTTCTTTTCTAATTTTAATTTTTATTTTTATTAGTGCATGTTTGCAGTACATAATGATCACATTCCTCATGGGGTGTTGGTACATATGAGTAACATGTCTTAATTCTTTTTATGTCCCTCTCTGCTCTCCTCCCTCCATCTCTTAGTACCCTTCCCATCTAGGAAAGGTCTATCTCCTTGTTTCATACTATCTGTCTTTTATTTTGCTCTTTAATGTACTTATAATTTGGGATTCTCAGGGCCATTTTGTCTTCCTGGGCATTTAGCAAGCACTGGTTATAGAGACAGTAGAACAAAAAAGACTCCAAAGGGGATGCTGGGCGACCTGCCCAGGACTCAGGCGGTGAGAGGAGTTGATATTGCCAGAGTCCCCCTGGCCTGGCTGCCTGGCGGGAGGTGGCGCCAGGGAGGAGACTCAGTGCTTCCCAGAGATGCCTTCTGGGCAGAGGGATGGGATCCTGACATCTCCCTCCTCCTGTCTCCAGCCTCAAGCCAGACCCGGAGTGAGGGGAGATAGGAGTGGTGAGTCCAGGATATAGTTCTGGGGGAGGCCAGGAAGGGACAGGGAGGGAGGTGTAGAAAGTCCCAAAAGACTACCACTTCTCATTGACTAATGATAATTGATAGAATAACTTTATTTAAGAAGAGATTTGGGGCCAGGGATGTAGCTCAGTGGCACCGCATCTGCCTGGCAAGCACAAGGTCCTGAGTTTGATCCCCAGTACTGGAAAAAATAAACAAATAAAAGAAAAGAAGAGATACTGATTGGAAGAGAAAAGCATTATTTTGGCTGTAGGTCACTGGAAGTGGAGGGGACCGGATAGAGAGGCAGGGTCCCATGTTTCTGTGATACTTCCCGCAGCAGCTTTGTGCTGGGGACCAGCCCAGAGCCATTCTCGGTTTAACTAGAGGATCCCATGGACTTTGAGACTCAGAGAATCAGAGCACTCGCCCCTAGCGCCCCACTTACATTGTGAAATGATATTTCAAGAATTGGAAGAGGATGTCCCCACTGGACACCTGGCTTTAAATAAGCCCTGGATCCCACCTGACAGTGTCATCACTGGGGTTCACCTCTCCAGCCAGGGTCTCTGCTTTCAGCTGTGGGGCGGGTGGTGGCTTCAAGTTCTCACAGAGTTTGTTCTTTTGGAACTGGACTTGGGAGCTGAGAATGTGGCTCAGTGGTAGAGTGCATGCCTAGCATGTACCAGGCCTGCATTTGATCCCAACAACAATGACACTAGTAATAATTGCATTCTGTCGGATATCTTTATGTGCTAAATTCCTTAGAAGCTTCACTGATTTTATAGGTCTTACTACCAGCATAATCTTCATGGAGAGATGTGAGTTGCCTAAAGATTTCCAAAGGCTTAAAAATATTTTGATATAATGTATCTCTGCCTTTTGGTGTAAAGATGCTGTGGTAAACATTGACCATGAAGATCACCCCTCTAAAACCAGTTCCCATGAATTTTATTCTAAAATTGGAAAGGGGATGAGGGGTGAATCACTGTTTAGCAGACGGCACTCACATAATCGTTTATTTGTTCAGCAAGTATTCGTAAAACACCTGCTGTGTGCCAGGAACAGTGCTGGTGGGGCTGATAGGGTGACAGCAAATAAGGGACAGGGACATAGTTTGCTTTATTCATCACCTGACTGATAGTGCTGGCCATGACCCACAGGATCGAACACAGAAAGGAGCTTTGTCCATTTGGGCGACAGGCAGGTGAACCGTTGCTCGCCAGCACCTGTTTGGGTGCTATGGGAGGAGGCACCCATCCTGTCTGGGAGAAGGAAAGAGGAAGTGGAATTTGTACCACCTGGGAAGACCAAACATCAGCTCTGTATTTGAGGCTGATTACCTCTGGTTGAGCAGGGAAATTAGATTGGATGTTGGGAGACCCTGGGCCCAGATGAGATGCGGTGTGGAGGAAGAATGGACAGGAGTTTGGGGCGTAGTGCTTGTTAGTTCATGGGGAACGAGATGAGTCAGATGATTCCAGAAGGTGCACCTTGGGTAACTAGATGCATACTGGGTCCATTCGCGGGAACAGAGAGGAGAGGGGGAGAGGAGCGGACTGTGTGTGTGAGCGCCTGAGTGTGTGTGTGGCCGGGGTGCCCTGTGTGCCCAGGTGGTGGGGGTATGACGAGGTGCCCATGGCATGCACATTCAGATGGAGGTGTCCAACGGGGGACTGGATATGTGATCTGGATCTGGAAATGAACATCTGAAAATCATCTGCATGGCAATTACCATGGATGCCACCATGTAGATGAAATAACCTGGAGAAATAAAAGGGAGGTGAGCCAGAAAAATATGGCCACCTACGGAATAAACAAAGAAAAAGCACGAGGAATTGCATGAAAACAGACTGAAAAACAGGCAAACACAGTATGACAGAAGCAAGAGGAATGTGTCATTGCCCCTTCCGCATTTGCAGGCAGCCTGGCCTTGGAACACCAGGGCCAAAGTCATTGTGACCTTGGCAAGAGTATGCTCTTGACCACTGCATGGCCTAGGGCCGAAGCCATTAAATGTGGGCTGAATGACAAAGGGGTAAAGAAATGACAGTCTCTCCTGTGAACACTTTCAAGACTCTTAATATGAGGGGGAGGCTGGAGGGTGGAGGTAGAAGATTGGAGATAGCTGTGTCTTCCTGTCAATGGAAATAGATTTAAACATTCATGAGTAGAAAGGAGCAATT